GTCTACCAAGCATAGCCTACATATAGTGTCAAGTATTTATATTTATTAAATACATTTTACACATAGGTACATTGTTTTCTATTTAATAATATATAAGTTACATTTTGTTTTATTCCAATTACATGGTTTTTACGTTCTTTCAATCATCCAAATATAAATGTTTACCTTAATAAAATTAGCTTATGGATCGCACGAGTAGCGCACTAGTGACATTAAAATACAACTAATACATTTAAAATGATCATAAATAAATTAGCATAATTATGGTAATCCAGACCTAATTATTTTGGATTGGAATTAGATTGAAATTTATCAAAGTCAAATAATGAAGCATGAAATTCTGACACAAGGATCTCAAAGTATGCGAGTCTGCCACTTAAGTTCAGCATATTCGGGAATTATGTATAAGGGGATATGTGGGTGTGTGTGTGCGTGTTTACTAAAATAGTATGTGTAGTTTTTCACTAATCACTTTAGCTACTAAAAAGGAAAAGGTAAAATATTTTTTTTCATCCGAACTATCACAGTTTTGGCGCATCACCATATAAACTATTATTTTTACAAACCACCATATGAATTATACGGGTTTGTCAATATGCCCCCTAAACCGGATATAAAAGTGGTTTTGACTAAAAAAAACTGTTTTTAATGGCATTTTAGTAATTTCACACATTTTTTAGAAAATTAAAAAAAAAAAAGAAAAATGTAAAAAATGAAAAAGTCGGTTTCAAAAAATAAAATAAAAAATAAAAAATAAAATGAGAAATGAGGCTCGTTCCAAAATGCCTTGGACCAGAAATACCTGCTACGCCACCAAAGCCCCCGTCGGCCTGCACCGTCGTCGGCCCCACCATCGCCTCCCGTTCGCAGTGGAAACCGATGCATGCGACGATAGTTGAGGGCACATCACGTTGATCTCATTGTGGGTACGTGGCGGGAGGCGGCGGTGGGGTCGGCGACGGTGCAGGCCGGCGGGGGCTCCAGTGGCGTAGCAGGTATTCTGGTCCAAAGCATTTTGGGACGAGCTTCATTTCTCATTTTCTTTATTTTCTTTATTTTTTATTTTTTGAAACCAACTTCTTCATTTTTTTCATTTTTCTTTTTTTATTTTCTGAAAAATGTGTGAAATTACTAAAATACCATTAAAAACAACTTTTTTCAACCAAAACCACTTTTATATCCGGGTTAGGGGGCACATGGACAAATCCGTATAGTTTATATGGTGGTTTGTAAAAAAAATAGTTTATATGGTGATGCGCCAAAACCGTGATGGTTCGGATGAGAAAAAGTAATTTACCCAAAAGGAAAATTCTATAGTTATTTTTTTATTTTTCCTTTTTTTTAGCATTGTAGAAATAATATTTCCTTAAAAGCATAAGTTTTATAAATATGCATTAAGTAAGAAATATCTCATTTATCTTTAGATATATCATATACTATCTTAATATATTTTTATTTTTTATAAACATTTGTTACATGAACTATTTCATAAAATTAATATATTTAAGGAAAAATAAGGAAATTTCTTTGGATAAGGTGATTGAAATACGTTATTATGCAACTTGATTAATTTATTTGTATGTGATATTTTAAATAGTTTAAAATCATGACACGACTAAAGTTGATCTTTGTCGCTGATCGATTTTGCCAGACCAAACTTATTATTGAAACTGTATAGAAACTTTAATATAAATGTAATGTAATCAAATTCGAAGAATAATTTTATGAAAAGATGTTTAGTGATTTATGAATAGTATATATCATTTTAGTAACTTTAATTTTATGAAAACATGTTCCATGATTTTTGAATATATATATATATTATTTTATTAATATTTTATGTAAACTAAATGATATTAAATTACAACTTCTATTAATGTATGGTAAATCGAAGTTTCACAAAACCGAACCATTATCGAACCGATCAAGTTATTTATTCAATATATTATTGGTTGGACTAGGGTTTAATTTATTACTATTCATTTTGTTAAATAGTATTTTTATTCATGTTAAAAAATAATTTTAAATTTTACAAAATTTTATTAAAAATTGTACAAATCCTATCAGTTCGAGGGACTGGTGTCGATCGATAACAAACATTTTATTCAAGCGAATTAGATGATCGATGAATCGGTTTGCGGGCCACTCGGTCGGACTATTTGGTCTGATCCGATATGAAAACAGTGGGTAAATCATTATTATTGTTATTTATATATTTAAATTATAATGTAATCGTAGTATTTTTCACCGTGTATTGGACGAGCCACTTACTAGTTAAGGTAAAAAAATAAAAAAATATATATACAAGCATCATATTTCATAAAAAAATATACATATAACCTATACGGTAAATTCAGGGGAAAAAATCATATTCCTAGTCCTCCCTGAATCAGGTATAGGTATAAACTATACATGGAAAATATTATAAATTGATGCTGTTTGGTAACCTTTTTTAGTTTGTTTAATAATCTACCGCCTTGCCTTATACTTCCAACAACGATCAAGAATCAAGATCCCGCCATGGTTATCTCTTTGGAGACCCCTTTGGTGCGAAAAGGTGATTGATTACTTTCTCGCTCAATTAAAATTATCATCTTGTGCGTTTTTGTTTTGTTTGTTTGTTTTCTGCTGATTTACGCGAGTTCAATTTTGTTGGGTCCCTTTGAATTTTAAGGGGGTTTGTAGTTGTTGCGATGAACTTATATGCCGGAATTTGTTTGTCATGTATGAGTGTACATAGTTGAAACTTAAAGAACGCTCACTATCTGTTTGGGTTTTTGTCTGAGTGAGAAAATTATTCTGCTGCAGTTTTATCTATTTTTTTGCCGACTACTTGAAAGCATCTAACTTTCTGCAGACTCTGGTTGAAAGGTTTTGTCGATTAATGTCGTTGTTAACGTAAACTGCATTATTTTATGTCTCAGATTATATGCCGAAGCCGTTTTATCGTCCGGATTACGATAGCTCTCAGCGGTGCCAACCAACTGTCGGTTTCAATTGCCCGTTTCCAGTTTACAGCGGATTGAACATGTTTCACCAGGCAATTTACCCGTACAGCTACCGCTATCAAGATTTCAATTATCACTGTCAAGACTTCGATTACTTTGTCGTGATCGACTTTGAGGCCACATGTGACAGAGGAAAACCTCCTTCTCCACAAGAGATCATTGAGTTCCCATCTGTCGTAGTCAGCAGCTCTACTGGCCAGATAGTGGCTAGTTTCCAGACATACGTGCGGCCCACGTGTAACCGAGTCTTGACTGATTTCTGCAAAGAGTTGACTGGCATACAACAAACTCAGGTTTCTATTATCTACTTTATTCAGGCTTTCCTTTTCTTAGGATTTTTTCTTTTATGCATGTCTATGAGGTTGTTTATGTCGTGTGACCTCTATATTTGCCTTGAGTGTGTTTTCTGTAAATGGTCAACTTTGAAGTTTGAATCATCTGCAACAAGTTGAAGTTTGAAACTGATTTCTAGTGGTCAATTGTGTAGGGAAGAAGGTAAATAAAGTAAGATATGGTAAAGTGAACTATGTGCAATAGGATGTTCGGAAATGATCGATCGGACAAGCTCCAATGATGTCTCTTTATCTTTGAAACTTTTGTTTTGTTTGTTCAAAAGTTGCTGGATGCATTGACACTTTATCTGCTGGTGTTTAATATGCAGGTGGACAAGGGAATTACATTGAGCAAGGCAATTGTTAGTCACGACCAATGGCTCGAAAAGATTGGACTCAAAACGACAAAGTTTGCTGTCGTGACTTGGTCCGACTGGGATTGTGAAGTCATGTTGGAATCCGAATGCCGTTATAAACATATCGAGAAGCCAGCCTACTTCAATAGGTAGTCAAATATTTTCCTTATTTCTGTTCTTTTCATCTATTTTAAAAAGAAAATAAATATATATTAACTGTAATTTTAGACATATGCAGACAATAGACATCAGTCAGGATTGCATTTGACCAACTGACTACTCTGTTTTTGAGCAGATGGATCAATCTGAAAGTTCCTTTTGGTGAGGTCTTTGGCAAAGAGAGATGCAATTTGAAACAAGCGGTCGAGAGGGCTGGGCTTACCTGGGAAGGCCGGGCCCATTGTGGTCTAGATGATGCCAAGAACACGGCCCGACTGGTTGGGCTTATGATCAACAGAGGCTTTAAGTTCACCATCACTAACTCGCTCACTTGCCAGTCGAGCGATGATGAGAGTGATAATGATATGTCTACTTGGAAGCCCAACAAGACAGTCCCTTACGCATTCAACATTGTACCGAATGTGTTTATTCGACGAACTCCTGTTGGGGCTGTGTTTGTCGGGTCTAGAAACTGGGCTGGTCCGCGTCGCGTGTATATGTCGTGAAATTTTTATATTGTTTTATTTTTATTGGAGACCTCTTTTAGTTGAATGCAGCAGTACCTTACTTTCTTTCTGTGAAAGATCTCCATTGTTCAGTTCACTGAGCTCGCATAACATTATCATTGCAACTTCGCAACTAATGAAAATAATACATAAAACAAACATACAACTATTAAGTTGTACCCAGAAAACAAATTTATCAAAATAAAATACATGCGCAAAAAATAAAATAATCAAATTAACTAATGTCATAAAGCTACAAAAAAATTTCAGACTTTGTCTTCTAATAATGAACTGGATGGAGCTTCTGATGGGCAGACAAAGTAATTTCATAAGCTTGACTTCAACCCCACCTCACCAATAATCCTCACACGAACACGACCCGCCCGTAAAATGATGAAAACGGTTCGTATCCCGAACCACAATCTCCCGGCCCGTAATCCTCGACACCAGCTTGATCATCTCATGACAGTCCCCACAGACCCTCAGATTCTTCACTATACGAATCACTGTCCCATCTCCCGTGCTAATGAGCCCAAACGCAAGCGCCAACTTCTCACTATGGCACCCGACAAAATGCTCCTTCTCCTCCTCATCGATGTCAAACAACACATACTCTGTAGTCGGCATGTAACCAGCTTCCCTCAGCTCTTTTCCAAGCTCACCCAATTTCGCGTATATTCTACCCGACTCGGGATGTGTGGTATCACCCACCAGAAACTCGTGCATGAACCCATCCACCTCAATCCAGCTGTATGCACTCACTTTCTGAATACCCTTCTCCCTCATGACCGACCGGATTTTCTCCGACTCGCCCCATTTTTTATTTACCGAGTAGAGATTCGACAAAAGGACATAGTTCCCCGAGTTCCACGGCTCAAGCTCGATTAGCCGCTCGAGCACGTGCTCGGCTAGTCGGGTGTCCCGGTGCAGGCGGCACCCACCGAGGAGGGCTCCCCAGACGACGGCATTGGCCTGCATCGGCATGCTCAGGACAGCCCGGTGGGCTTCATCCAGAAGACCGGCCCGGGCGAAGAGGTCAACCATGCTCCCATGGTGCTCGATCGTGGGGTCCACCGAGTACAGACGGGTCATAGATT